CAAAACCTTACTTAACATGAGAACAAATGAAGATTTTCATCGTATTTTTTATTAAACTTATAGATAATTTGATTGTAATATACAACAAAGAGTAACACGCGTAGTATAGCATTATTTAGGTTATTCCTATCATAAAAACCTAGCATATTATTTATGACGATGTCTTTTGTCTACAACTATCACTTTCTAAGGAGAAAAAATGTTGCCGATAACTTTGGGGCTTTGGATGTCTACTTTATCGTGTGTTTTTTTTTTTTTTTTTTTTTTTTTTTTTTTTTTTTTTTTTCCTTTTTCAATTCACTTTGATTGATAGATATGAAGAGTGATTTTACCCATTTGGAGAAATGGGTGCTTCACCTTCGTATTGATGGATGGGTGATTATTGATGATACCAGTAAAGGGTCCTTATCCACAGACTGTTGGTGCACTCTTGTCGAACAAAGTGCCCCAGAAATTAGGGGGGACACTATTCATTATGCCACTGCAAGTCAATCCCATGCATATATATATATATATAAATGATGACCAGCTGATTAATTATTGTTCTATAGTGATGTCGTATTTTCAGGAAGTTTCTGATCTGTTAAGAGGAGAAAAGAATTGTGTACATATATCTAGGAAAAAACTATAATTTTTATATGATCAAAGAATATAACGCACTATAGCTAATTTTTCTAGTATTATCTCTCGAGAAAGTTCTCGACATTTCCTAAACGATATGATCTTGTAACCTCTATTTTTGGGAGGAAAAAAAAAGATTTTAAGATTAGTATTCCTTACCTTTGTGGTGTGTCATGCGTGTGGATTCTTGTTTGGGAAGATATGACAATAAATCATTGACGTCACATTTTTAATGGAGAATTTCACAGAAGAAAAATACTTTACGGTACTCGAACTATAAAAGTAGCTAGCTAGAGGGGGATAATAGATGTGCCAAAAATATCTTTAGAATATTAACAAAACGGTCATATTGTTTGTAAAAGATTTATCTCTATCTTTTTTTTTTTTTTCGAAGGGTTAATAACATGAGGAAATATAGAGTACATAAGGCATGGAAAAAAATAATAATATAGAGGTAAGCCGACATTTTAAATTATTAAATTTCAACCAGTTACGTTAAATTGTCACACTTTCTTTAAATTAATTTGATTTTAAAGTAATTTCACAATTCATAATCGTATCATATCAAAAGTTGAGTACTCTTTTTGGTATTATACTACAAAATTTTTCTAATAAAAAACTTTTATAATTGGAACTGCTATTTTACTTTACTGGTAGGAATTATTGTTTTAGTCGTTGAATTAGGTTTTTAACGATATGATATATGAGTATAAGTAGTTCGGTGTCGCATGCTGTAAGTTTTTCAGGTGAACATTCACAAATCAAATCACTAAAAAAATAATCTAACTGTCAAAATAGTAGTTCTTACTGCTAGGTAAAATAACAGTTTCTACCGTAAGAGTTCCCCCTAATAATATACTTTTAAATGGCACAATGGGATACAGTACCTGGGCAAGTTGAGAGCAAATGAAGTTGACTAGGAGTTCATGCAATTCTGCTCTCATGATAATCAGAATATTATTTGAAAAAAACAGTGTTAACAAACGATAATCTTTGCAAAAGTTGAAAAAAAAATCTTGCTTTTAAAATGAAAAGCATATGATGCTTACAGAATCTAATTCAACTGCTGGATTCAAGCTGGACTCAGCTTTCTAGACTAATATAACTTTAGCCTCAATTGGTGACATAATCCCACTCCTGGCTTTTTAGGGATATGATTACCATAAAAATTAATTTCCTGTTTAATGTGAGGCTTAGATTATAATCATGTTTGTCATGTCTGTTGAGCATAGTGAAAACATAATAAAGAGATTTTAGTTAGTAATAATATCCATGTTAGAAAAAGAAAAATTAATTAATAGGAAGTGGTGGCACTAGATTATTAGTATGTTATTAATGGCTACATGACCTATATACAGAAACCTAAAAAGGGCATGCTTCCTAATTAGGAAAAAAAGAAAGGCATTTTAGAAAATTGTGATTGGTGCTTTTCTCATTTAATAATATTTTGTTTTAAATAAAAAATTGTTTTTGGGGATTGAATATTCATGAGGGGTACACAGAAAAAAGAAGGAAACCAACTAAAATGGATGCAATATGACTCGGTTGAGGCCACAAATCACGTGGTAATACCAATAAAAATGAGTTTGTCGGCTACTTTTGGAGGCCAGGATTGGAAGGGCTTGTGATGTGTATACACTTTGTGTCTGTCTGAAACAAATAACATTGTTGATTATGGTTGAGCATGTAGGAGAGGATAAACATTAATCTAAAGTAAGTGAGCAAAAGAATAAAACATGAAAAGATGGATCAAGAGAATATGTGTAAGGAAAAATGTGTGCATATAATGAAAATTAAAGAGAGATAAGGAATCTCACCGGTCTCTTGATTAATTTACTTCTTAAATTTAGAAAATTCCCATTTTATCTTGTGAATTTTAATTTTGTCCCATTTAATCTTTTTATTTTTTGGGTTAGAATTGCTGTTAAAATTAGAACAAAAAAGAGGAGATTAAGGGTGCGTTTGGAACTCGTTCCAAAATGATTTTATTTTTTGTATGAAAATGAAAATGAAAACGAAAACGTTTTCAATCCCAGGTAGAAACCATTTTTAAAAATGCGTTTAGTAGTTTTATCAAAAAATTATTTTTTGTGTAAAAAAACCCATTAATGTATCTCTTTCTTTCTCTGCTCTAGAGAGGAGAAAATGAAAACAAAAAATAAAAAACGACTAAAAGTCGTTTTTCATTTCTCTTTCATTTTACACTAAATCAAAAAATCGTTTTCATTTTCGTTTTTTATCTTTATTGTGCCAAATGCCGTTTTAGAAACATTTTCATTTTTTCTTTCTCGAAAAACGTGAAAAATAAAAACGAGATCAATTCCAAACACGGTTTAAGTGTGATCACGTGATATTTTTCAATTTGTATTTGAAGAGAAATTCTAATAAAAAGACCCTGTGATCTTCTTGGCCCCCTTTTTCCAATATGTTTTTTTTAGTAAGAATTCTAACAGACGGAGATAAATGGGAAGTTTTTAAAAATTAGAGCTAAAGTAGAAATGACTCAAAAATCTAAGGACATCGGTGTGATTAACTAAAAGATAATTAAGATGAGTAATTAGAGTGTTGGACGTTTTGTGATTCCAAAGCAAGGATTCTCCATCGTTAATTTCAATGAGCTTAGATTCCTAATCATAATTGTTATGTTTTTTTCTCTTTTGATTAATCGAAAGAATATATATGTATTTCACATTTATATATATGCACCAAGCAAAGTGATTATGACCAATGGAGTTCATGTCCAATCCTAGAGATCAATATGCTTAGGTAAAACCTTTCAGCCCATTGTTTCTTGTCGCCGGATAGGCTATCTGGTGGGGCCCACTAATGGCGCGAACACCCGCTTGACCACATAAAAAAGTACACCTAAAGAAAGTTATTTCCCTCTTTTAGATTATGATGATTGAAGTCATATGCAGGAGTAGTAGTACTAGTACTAGTTGTAGGGGCACACTTTGAGCTTCTCTCTTCTTCATCACGGTCCATGACTTTATAGCTTTTCAATTCAATTAATTTTGCACCTCTTGGAAGGCCAAATTATAAACAAATAAAAATGAGCGTGACAAATAGATAAGAAAGATTATAGAGAGAGAGAGAGAGAGAGAGAGAGAGAGAGAGAGAGATGAAGAAGAGGGTGCTTGAGACCAAGTAAGGTGGGGGACATATTCATTTGGGAGTTGAAAATAAATAATGTACATAGGCATATAGGCTGTATAACTGTGTTTCTTTTGGCTATTAATGAGGGATTAGGGGTTTGTTCCCAATAGAAACAGTTTTTAAGATGGGGGGTTTGTGTGGACCATGTATGCTTACAAGAATTGCTGGTTTGTCTAGATGGTGTTATTGGATGTAGAGTATATATAAATACACATCATATTTATATATATATGTATATGTATATATATGCGTATATAGAATTGCCTTTTCGTTAATTTTTTAATAACGAAAAATTTTGGAGCAATGTTTTGTTTTTTTTATTTTTTATTTTTTTTTTTATTTGGTGTTGAAAGATGGGAGGGGGTTTGAAGGGGGGGAGATAGGGATGGTCCATTTGCAAATGCATCTAAAAAGGGAGAGAAGTGGTGTGTCGTGTCTCCCTACAAATTATCCCCATGAAGAATGGAAAGGAAATTCCATAATTGTGTCTTGTTCCAAGTATTGTTTTGCATCCCTCTCTTCTCTCTCTCTCTCTCAAATATTAAAGGAAGAGGTGGGAAATTGGTGGTGGATGAACAAAAGTGCACCCCTTTTAAGTATAATATGCCCCCACATAAAATGAAAATCCTTATATTTGTTCCATCCATGGAAGTAGGCATTGGTTAATAGCATCTAGACACATTAATTTTAAGTGGACTATACCTTTGCAAAATTGCCCCAAAACTAATGGCAATAAGACCCCCCTTCAAGAGCAATATTTTTGTTTATTTTTAATCTAATGATCCTAGATTGAGAAAAATATACCATGCATATGCATTTTCTCTTGCTAGTTATGTTCTCAACTTGCAGTTTTGCTTTTGTTCATGCTAAGAAAACCAAAGACTTAACAATGCCACAATGATGGTTTTGCAAACAATGTTTTCAGTGCACCACTCTCCATTTTTTTTTTTTTTTTTTTTTGGGTTCAACTTGCTCAATGATGGTTTGTGATGGTTAATTATTAAAAACACAAATTTTTCAATAATTTCTACTTATGAAATCCGTTATGCCATGAAAAGTCCCAACCATACTTGAGGAACTTTTCGCAGTGAAGATGGGAGACTCATCTCATAACCCACAAAAATCATAATGTGGAAGGAACCTGAAATTGAAGAAGAAAAGAAAGCGACAATCCAAACAGAAATAACAATAACAATCACAATGAGAATAAAGGATTAGTGGGTGCAGCTTAGAAAGGCCTTCATGAATGGGTTCCAATAACTGCTTTGGGCTTCATTGAAGCGACCCAATTTTCCTAATCATAAGCCCCTTTTACAGAAGAACCTAAATTGATCCAAAATATTTTAGGAAAACTAGAGAAATGTTCCCCCTCCTTTAACACTTTTAGATCCATTCTCCCTTCTTTCAAACCTAAAGGGACACAATTCTAAGAGGAAAAAACTAGGGAAGCATATCATCTAAATTTCTCTACATTTTAAGTAGCCTTTAAAGCGATACATTACAACCTGACTATCTATATCAAACTACAATTTTTAGAGATTCAGGACCAAACAAAAAACAAAAACAAAAAAAAAAAAAACCCACGATTTTTAGAAGTGCCTTAAATCCATGCCTATAACATTCTTGGTGCATTCCTTGCCAGTTGAAGACTTCCCTTGCAATGAAAAGAGTTTCAAACATGTCACTCGAAAACCGAAACCTCGCCACCCCAGCTGCAGGAAGCAATGACATTGGGCAAAATGGGATGGACTGCAATGTCAATGCATGGCTGCTCATATGCCTTGATTTTCCTGACTAACTCAGAAGATCTGTAGTTGTAAAAGTATATAGAACCATCTGAAGAGCCTGAGATAAGCTTCTCTCCATCCAAGCTGAAGCTGCACTTAATGGGAAAGCCTGATACCCCATGGCCTTCATACCTCTTGTACTTGTTTAGCTTGAAAGGGGGATATGAAGAGAAGATTGCAACGTAATTTCCATTTGACTGGGCGACGAAAACTGGATCAAAGGGGTGGCGCCTCACGCAGGGACAGGTATAGGCTTCTACATATACCTGAAAACGAGGAAAAACACTATAAAAGCTATTAATTAAAGTGGGAAAACATGATTCTTGCTGGATCAATGATCTCTGAAAAAATCCATTGATGATCACAATTATTAACTTCATAAGTATGCTTGTGTGTGGTTCTCTTTTCATTTCTTTATGTCGTCAACAAAGAAAATGTAAAAGAAAGACCGCTCCAAATCCTATGTTTTTGGTTTTTTAAAATCAAGGATCCTTCATAATGAAAGATAGTAAATTGGTATGTTCTAGTTTCAATTTGTATCACTATGTTACCAAACTGCACTTTCATCCCACTCCAAACCATTACTCGATAACCAGACAATTCCGGTAATACGTTTAATGTCACCTACATTACACTTCTTTGGGATACAATCATGATACAAATTGAATTCAAAATACAAACATAATAATACTTTCATTATTATGGGGATTTTGTGATATGTACATATATATATATATATATATATATATCTTTTACAAAAGTGAAAACATAGGGTACCAACATGATGATAATTTCCCGTTCCTGTTTTTGTATTCTCTTTGTTAGGACATCAGTAAGAGTACTCTTACTCACTTCATTAATACCAATTAAGGCTCTTCCAAATCTCAACTAAATAAAATCAGGAAAGTACAAAAGGAAAGTTATCCATAATATGAGGTTCTCTCAACAAATTTGATTGTTAAATCTAGTGCAATTCACTTAAACACGGTCATTACTTCTACCTATACAGTTTTTCAAACAATACTCGAATGATATTTAATTTTTCCTAGTGCAATTCACTTAAACACACGCGTGCGCACAAGATTGAGATTGTTCAAAATTGAATCAAATCCAAACCAACACCAGAGTTTAGATGGAAGTTAACAATAGTTCTTCATATTACTGTTAGCAGAAAATCAGAGACATTATTCTGAGCAAGATATTTACTTTATGCACATATTTTGATGATTTACTTTTTGTACATTCAACCAGTTAGATTTTATATTCCTGATCAAGCTATCCATTGATTCAGCCATAGATGCAAACTATTGCTAAAGGCATAATGGATAGTTTCTCTACCTGATTAGAAAGTGGGACTTGTCGAGAGACATCCCAAACAATAATAGAGTTTTCACTGACGTTGCTTCTTGTTATGTCACTGGAGGAGATAATTTGCTTGCCATTTCTGGTGAATTCAACGTCAAGAACAGGCTCACCACCACGCACAAATTCATGAACCGCCTTTCGGGTTCTAATATCCCACAACCTTATGCATCCTTGTGATCCTCCAGAAAGGAAGAGGTTGAAGTCGTCCTCATGGAACTTAACAACTCCAACCATTTGGTCCTCCTTAAAAATCTGAGTCTCCATCCCCTTCTCAACGTCAACTAACCTTGACGAGCAGTCGTATCCACAAGAAAGCACAGACAATCCTTGCCAAGACCATTTGACATCTTTTACCGCTGCATTATGAATGAACAATTTTCGTGCTATCTTCTGCTCGCTGCTCCACGGATTCCATATGCAGATTGAGTTATCCATTCCCGCAGATGCTAGAAGATGAGCTGTAGACTAACTCTAATGAACAGATCAATAAAGGAAGTGATAAATGAAACTGATGCAGTGCACTGTGGCTCAACACCACCATTTATTAAATTTTTAAAAAAATGCAATCAAATTAAACAAGCAAGAAAATCAAAATTATACATGCACTAAAAGAACATGGTGTCGAAAAATTAGCTTATAATCCTCAAATATGCTGAGCTGTCAATAATTAATATTGCACAAAAAACACAGTCAAGAAATCAAAATTAGTTGTAGCGGTCGGGTAGGCTATCTTATTTGGTTTCACTCAAGTGGTTATCAGGTTCATCATTCTTATAGAGACTGCGAGTTATCTTCTTGTACCGAAAGAAACTGAGCTGATCTTGATTAGTGATTGTAATAGTCATTCATGGACTTTCACGGCTGCTTTCCTTCAAGGATGTCGCTTGTCAAATTGAAACCCATTTTTTATGTGTCTTTTGTGATTGATTTTCTTTTATTTAATGCCAATTCTTGAGAGCTTTGATCAAGTGAAACTCAAATATTTTTCTTGGGATTAATTTTCTTTATAACCAGGAACCCATTACGATTGTGGAAGAATAAATCAGCAAGGAAACCAAAGAAGTACCAAAGCAAAACACAGTCAAAACTTTTTAACTAGAAAGAACTTACCATGAGTTGGTGACCAATGAACAGAGCTGACAGCTTTTGTATGGCTAGACAGAGCTACAGACATTCTCTCACACAGTTTTCCTCGCTGTGCAACACTTGTCGCCTTATTCCTCAACAACGACAATATATCACCGCGAATATTTGAATCAGAAATACTCCCCAAAACTGAATAACAACAAGATAATCAAGGAAGTAAATATTAACAATTTTAGCAATATTTCTTGAATATTACTTAAATATACAATGCAGACAAGAAGAAGAAGATATATATGTAGAATGATTATAATTTTACGCACCATCTGTTATGGATTTAACACTCCAATCCTTCACCAACGAGAGCAATAATATAGAAGAAACGCAAACAAGTATACACACAAAATTTACGATAGTTCACCCCGTAATATGAGAGATATTTCTAAATTCTAATTTCAACCGCCGCAGAATTCCACTATAATAAATAAGAAAATATCACGCATTTTTTTGCCTCTCAAACTCACTGTATTTCTCTCTAATCCAACTCTCAACATTTGCGGCCCCAAATACATGTCTAAGTAGCTCAATCTGTGCTAACTAGGGCTGACAACACGGGTTATGGCACGATGGCACAACACGAACAAGACATGACATGCGATAATTAAACTCCAAACACTCAACAGAATCCACAAGCATTTTCATTTCTACCGATACCAATGTCAATATAATCCACTAATATTTCATAAATTCGAAGCCTTAGGAGTTGTTCTTTTGCATTTTTGAGTTAGGGTGACTTAAGTGATGATCTTGAATTGAGTTTGAGTTATAACTTGAGTTGAAGTTGTAACTTGAGTTTGTGTTTGGATGTGCACATTTGTGTTATGATTTGAATTGAGAATCTTTTTGAGTTTGTGTTTGGGTAGGTCAAAACTTAAATTTGTATTTAGATAGTATTTTAATAAAAACTCAATGGTGATAAAAAATTTTAATAGGATATATGGGTGGGGTTTTATTCGTCTTTTCATTGTGAATGCATAAAAAAAAATCATCTCAATTAGAATTAAAACGAAAAAATTATGACATTTTTAAGAATAGAAAAAATACTGTTTATTAACTTGAGTTTGAGTTTATGAACTCGAGTTGAAGGGGAAACTTAAGTCCCGTTCATTTCACCGATTCGAGTTTTGTTACAGCAAAAAGCTCTCAGAAACAGTCACATCTAACTTTTTTATTACAGTAAAGAACTCATATAAAATCACATCTTAACTTGAATTAAAAACTCGAATCAACGAATTAAACGGACCCTAAAACTCGAAATTAGCTCCAAACTCGAGTTCAAACTCAAATTTTACAAAAGAATAGAACTTGAATAAAGTGAGTTCAAATTTTTTCTGAATTTCGTTGTAAAAGAACAACCTCTTAGTATTTCAAAATCGACATTTTCATTCATGATCATAATAATACTACTTCAGCACACTGAAAACTACAAAACACTTGTAATTTCATTCCAACTTTACTCCTTTGTTAAGTCACTACTACTTTAATTCTAAAAACTTTTCGGAAACTATACAAAACTCCCCAAATTCATAGAAATTCTGTAACAAAAAAAGCTAAAAACAAAACAGTGAAAATAAATTATTTCGAAACAGATAAAAGAAATTTCTATAAAGTAAATTTGTAAAAGCAAAAGAAAAAAAATACCAGGTGAATTACGAACAGAGACCGGCTCAGGAACCATGGGAAGAGAGGAAAATTGGGCTCGCTCTCGCTTGGAAATGTATCTACCGGGAAGCGGAGCTTCTTCTCGGGGCAACGGAGATCGGGTCTCCGGATGACCCGAATACGAGTGGCCGATTTGGTTTCCGAGTCTCGGACGCTTCGAAGAAGAAGACGGCGACGGCGTCGGCATGAAACTTTCGGGTGCGAATTCGGGTTTGGGCACGTCGTCTTCATCAGAATCGGTGGAGTAGGCGTTAAAGAGGAGGTCCATTTAGCTGATTTTGAGGTTTTGAACTTTGCTATATGGTAGTCACAGTTATTTTTAACCATTCAATTAATATTTTAATGATGTAAATTCGTATTTAAAATTTATAATAAATCACACAAAAATATTTTTATTTTAAATTTAGATTTTGTTTATTTTGTGGATTCGAGTTTTTAATTTGAGTAAAGATGTGATATTTTTTTAGAGCTTTTTACTGTAACAAAAAAAGTTAAATGTGATATTTTTTAAGAATTTTTTACTGTAAAAATTTAAAACTGAAAATTTAAATCGATAAAATAAATGAGATTTTAATAATTAATAAATTAATTTTAACGATCTAAGTATATATCTTATTAATAGAGTAAAATAACTTAAAAAACTCCTAAAAGAGGACTGAAAAGAGAATTTTAATATACCTCATAAAAATATTGAATCCGTTTTATACATCCTTTTTTATTTTCTTCACTAAAACATGAGCGGAAAAGCATAAAAAAAGAGAGAGAGAAAGGAAAGAAATCAATGGGAAATGTTTTTCGCGGAAACTTTATGCTGCCGGATTAAATTTCACAATAAAAAGAAAAGAACCGGGAAAAGACAGAAAAAAATCTATAAACAAGTAAAATGATAAAAGAAGAGAATATGATAAATTGGCTGATATTATAATTGTATAATAAGTTATGCCGAAAAAGTTCAAAAATTGAGTAAAATTGCCGATATTGTAATCGTAATAATAAATTATACCAAAAAAAAAAATGCGTGAAGAAAAGTAAAAATTTAAATAATATTGATTGAGCATGAAATTAACAAAGTATTCCTTAGGTTAAATTAAAGAAATAGGGTAAATTAATTGAAGGACAAATAACAAAAATATTTTTAAAACCGATTGATAAAACCATATTGTTCTTACTCGAAAAAATTATGTAATAAAGAAAAACGATTGCACAATGTCGTAGGCGATTGAGGACTTGTAAAGATGTGTTGTAAGGTAAAACGCCGAATCCTAAATTAAACATTGTATGGGGCCAACATGCCATAAATAAGAGCATTAAAAGATCAATGATAGCTCAACCCTATCTGCCACTGTAACGACCCGACTTCTCAGACCGTTAATTAACTTAGTTAAACATTTGAAAACTTCAAATTACTCACATCAAACTTCACGGACTTATAAAATTTTGAATATATATATATATATATTGACATGTAACATATTTTTGACGAGTCATAGGAGTTAAATAATAATAATAGATACACATATGAAAAGCTTCAAAATAATTTTAGTAAAAACCAGATTAAAAATTTTTAACCAAAGACTCAATCGCACACTTCGTACAGGAGAACGTAACGTTATGGTATATACTTAAGATTCAAAATCATAAGTGTTTAATCAATTTTAAAAGACATACCAAGCGTTAACGAAGACAATCACAAAATATGTAATGATGATAATAACATGGATTGGTTGTCACTCTAACGGTTAACGAAAACATATTATGTCCTACTAGTAAAATGTGCAATTGAAAATGAAAAATCATAACCACATGTCTAAGTGTTTAGCATAGGAAGACTTGTCCTATAGATGCAAGTATTTAAATCATGGAAGCCAAACATACTAAAATAGCAGTCTTATAAAGTTTAAAATATAATGGAACTTAAATGCGAAATTAATTGCTGTTGGTATCCATAATCCCTTTGTTGACCCCATCGCTCATGCTCTACCCTGCCAGCCCATCATGAGGGTTTAAGTGGTGGGCTTCTTGCCCGAATTACCTACATCATGAACAACATGGGTGAGCATTCGCTCAGCAAGTATGAACTTAATCTCACAAAATAGTTATATGAAAAATGTTATGCATGACTGATTATGAATAGTTTGATTATTGACTCTACATTTTATGGGCCATGTGTATGTACCGGGTGTACGTGAGCAATAGGGTATCAGGGGAATGACCCAAATATATTATACCGATAACACCCAAGGTCATCATATAGATTGTTCATCATTTTCCTACCTAGCGAGGGTTGGTACGACACTTAAATTATCTTTTCTTTACCATAGCCTCTTATTAGGTGAGCATGCGATTATGATCGTGGCTCATATTCAAAACTTAACATTTAACTTGTAGAGGCAATAATACATCAATAAATTTTTATCATGACATCTTAAATGATGTACTGATAAATGCGATAGCACATCAATCAACAATCATTCAAAAACATCAAAAAATTCACAATCATGCGACATCATTTTTTTTATATATAAAAAAAATAGGTTTCATGCTATAGGTGTGGTTCGTACTTACCTGATCAAGCATAACCTCACTTAGCAATTCCTGCTTACTTATCTTCTTTTGGAACACTTCCTAGTGACAACACTTATTAGTCAGCAAGGGTCCCTTGGTCGATTCCTCGTTATAAGGCCTAAGTCTTTATAATATCTTATGAAAATTCACACTAATTAAGTTCTACTCTAATTGTCTTAATTAGTGTTGATCGTTATCGAATAATCTCCTTAGATTAAATGATTAACCGCAAATTCAATCATTAATTAATTATTAATTTTAAATTAATTATTAATATATTTTTGATTTATTTATTCTTAATTAATAATTAATTAATTATTAATTTAGTTCCCTTTCAATGATTAATAATTAATTAATTAATAGTTAATTATTAACTTTATTACTTAAACAAATTAAGTCGATAAATAATTTATGCTGAATTAATTACCCTTCCTTCCTTAATTAATAATTAACTTAACACTAATTATTAATTAATTAATATAAACTTATTTTATAATTAAACTCTAATTATTTATTAATTAGACCGTTAATTAATTCTTAATTAATTTAAGAATTATGATTAATTAATTAATTACCTAATCAAGTTATTAAAATTTTATTAATCACGTGACAATCACTAATTAACAAATCAACATTAGTGTATCACTAGATCATTGTCTAACTTAATCATCGATTAAGGGTAGATTGACCTCTTTAATTAATCGACCTAATGACATTAATTTCTAACCTTATTGGTCCATGAAGGAAATATGGGCTTATGCTTGTTGGGCTTGAAGGGCTCATAAGGGATTGTGGGTTTACTAAATTCTAAATTGTGCTTGGTCTTTTGTTGGTAACCTAGTGGTTAACCATAGGTAACCACGCCCGTCTTAGGCCCAACTCACATCCAATTTAGCCCAAACTTTTGAGCTCCCATCTAAACCTTAAACTAAGTCCATAATCTAATTGAGTTAAGCATAAAGGATTGATGGAGAATGCTGGTTGCCGAATCGAATTCGGGTGCGGAAGCGTGGGGAAGGCGGATCGTGTATAACAAAAATTTTCACAAAACTTTTGAGATACTCTATAGATTATATTAATTTATGCACGAATAAATTAATCGCATTAATTTATATTATTCAAGGATCAACCGAAAAAATACCTGGAAGCCGACTCGGATGATAACTTGAATTTCTTTGACCACGAACAGTCCTTGCTCCAAGCTTTGTGTTTAGAACACCAAAGTCGTCCACGTCAATTCCTTAATTCCACGTAGATGTGTGTGTGGGCACGCGTGAGACAAAATAGGTTTCTGAAACACTCGAATTTCCACAAACACCAACGCATGCACGATGTGAAATTTTTGGAGAAAAATTTTTTCTTCTCTTTTTTCCTCTATGAGAATTTCGCCCACAACTCTTTTAGGGCTGAAAATATGTTTTTAAAATTGTATACAATTTTCTATCTTTCTCATATTTAAAGAGTAGAAGTC